TCAGCCAAGAAGGCAGGTCAAGGGAGCAAAGCCAAACGCAGCCCTAGCCAATCAGCTGAACTGGGCAGCAGTGACCCATGATGCACCTCTAGTGGCCATCCGAGTGATTGCCACTAGAGCTATTCCAAGGCAGTAATGTAAACACTGTCTTTTCTCGGAAAACACAGAGTTTACAGCAAAAAAATTGCAGGACAGGCTATAGACACCAAAAACAACTACATTAAACTGTTGATGTTCTGGTTTCTATAGTGTCCCTTTCAATTCTAAGAGGCAACAGTTTGGGGAATATTCATAGGTAGCATAATGAACTTAGAAATAAATCTCTTATTCATGCAATTGCTCTAAAATGGTCAATAATAGCAAATAAAAATACCAAATATAGAAATATAATTTCTATCAAGATACTATGTATAAATACACATAAACTAAGATAGATTTTCTTCACATTTGTTGATTACCTTAAACTGATTCAGTGCTTCACTGTACAAAATAATCTGAAGATTTAATTCTTTTTTAAATGATCATTTCTAATTATTATTAGTATTGTTATTATTTATAAAGCACCAGCAAATTCTACAGCGCTGTACAACTGTTCAACTAGCAGAAGCATAATTGTAAACAGACAAGTTGGATGTACAGGAACAGAGAGGGTTGAGGGCCCTGCTCAATGAGCTTACATGTTAGAGAGAATGGGGTATAGTGACACAAAAGGTAAGGGTAGGAATGTAGGTTGATAGAATAGTATTCACTGAGGGCTTAGCATTTTGTATTTTTGAAAACAAAAAATTGATGATGACAGTTGCAGGCGAGGAATCAGGGTGCAGTGAGGGAATGCTATTTAAGTTTAAATAATATGCTTTCCTGAAGAAGTGAGTTTTCAATGATTTTTTGGAGGAATGAAGACTGGATGAAAGTCTAACAGAGAAGGAGTGGTGCAGCCTTAGAAATGTCTTGAAGGTGGGCATCGGAGGTGCAAACAGAGAATAGATGTAGGTCTTCGGCAGAGGGTAGGGGCCTAGATGGAACATACTTGTATATTAGGGAGGATAGGTAGGTTGGAGAAGCATTATGAAGAGACTTGTACCAGAATTTTAAACTGAGCCCTATATTTTACAGGAAGCCAATGTAGGGTGACAGATGGGAAGGGCATGGGAGGTACGGGCGGACAGGGAGATGATCCTTGCTGCTCCATTTATTATAGACTGTAACAGGGTATGTTCAGAACATGTAAGACCACTGAGAAACTGAGTGCAGTAGTCAAGACGTGAGAGGATAGTGGCATAAACCACCATCCTTGCTGCATCCGGCGTTAAAGATGTGCGCTATGTTTTTGAGATGTCAGCAGCAGGATTTGGCACTGGACTGGACATAAGGGGTGAAGGAGAGGTTGGAGTCAAAGAGAATACCTAGGCAATTAGCATGCGAGGCAGAGCTGATGGTAGTGCCGTTCTCTTTTTTAACGTTCAGTTTTGGACAGGTTAAGTTTAGTTTGCAATTTTTATAGCACATAGCTCTTTGTGAGACTCATAGACTCAAATATATAAGACAAACATAAAATGTAAGAGTTTCTGATAGAGAGATGGGCTGACTGAATGCCTCATAAAAGAGGTGGATCTATAATTATTTTTTTAAAGTCTGTAAGGATTGTGTCTCTCTGATTGAGAAAGGTAAAGAAATCCAATGTGGGGGCAGTGTGGCTGATATTCTAGGCACCGATATGAGGAATTCGTTGGTTGACCGAAGTGAGCATGATGGAATATATGGTGGCTGGAATTATTTCAGGTGTGGTGTGTTATCAGGTATTGTTGGCCTTGATTGTTTAAGGCTTTGAAGGTCAGCAGGCCAATTTTTAAATATGCTCGCCATTTAATTGGAAGCCAATGCAGGAAGTGAAGAACAGGTGATACGTGACACGATCAAGTTTGGTTGGTCAGTAGTCTGGCGCCTGCATTTTGTACTGTCTGTAGGTGATGGACTTCTTTTTCTGAGAGGCCCAACTAGAGTACATTACAGTAATCTAGATGAGCGGACACAAATGCATAGGTTCAAGTTGGCATATCATCCTGTGTTTTTTTTATCCTGGATATGTTTCTTAGATGAAAGGCAGAATTTATTACAGAGAAAATCTGCTGTTTAATTGATAGTCTAGAGTCAATCAGTGCTCTGAGATTATAGGTCTATAAACTGGAGCAAACTGGCATTCCATTGTAGTGGTTCTGGTCCGTGACATGTTGGTCTGCTGTGTTGGAGGCTCAGGATGAAGGAAATCTTGTTTATGAAGAAGATCACAAATTCTTCACACTTAACCTGAGAAAAGTTGATGGGGAGATGTGGGTGAGAAAAATTTTGCTTGACAAGAATGCAGATTTTTTTCTGAGTTATCTTTAATTGGAAAATTGAGACATTTGGTAAGAATGTCTTTTTCCTCTTGACCATGTGTCCTGCACCACCTTATCTCAAGTTTATAGCCTGTTCTCTTTATTTCTCTGATGGTGCTATCAAACCACGGTGCATTATTGTGAGTTCTAATAGAGTTCTAATAGTGCAATTGCATGTTTGTGTCTCTCATAATTTTGTTGTAGAGTCGGACTAAGTAGCTGGGGTCTTCACAAGTGCCCATTAGTTCATTTAGACCCAGATGTGATGTTACATTCAATGGCTTTTAAAGAGGGGTGCTTGACTAGGTTGTGAGGTTGGGGTCTAGCTGATTGTGTTACAATAGAGAAGTGTATGTAGTGGAGGTCTGACCAAACAACTTGATTAATAGTCAGTGGCTACACTTTTAGTCCAGACTGGAACCCTAGATAAAGTGTACAACCTTTTCTTTGGGTGGGAGTAGCGACGATTGCAGTGCACTCATCATGCAGAGAGTGCACTCATCATGCTGAGTAGGTCCTGCCTAAGTTGGGATAGGGTATCCTCAATCCACATGTTGAAATCTCCCACCCCACCTTGGGTGTTCAAGGATTAAACCAGCCAAAATGTTTGATAGCTCTTGAAGAAATCTCAAAGGGTCTGTATATTAACAGTAACCAGAATTGTCTGTCTATTGAGATGCTGGAAGCTACGCATTCAAAAAATTGGGGTGGGAGGACTGATATTGGCCTGGAGTTCAAGGATGATTTGACACAGATGATTACTCCACCTCCCTTGTGATCTTGTCTCGGGTGGTGGAACACCGTGTAATTGCCTGGAACAGCAGCTGCCTCTAGAAGAGGCTCCACATTGTCATCTAGACATGATTTTGTAATACAAGCTAATTCACATTTCAATAAAATCGATGATAATAGCTGTTTCATTCCTTATTGATCTGGAAATGTGCAGTACTGATTTTATAGGATAGTCTTGGGGTTCTGAGTTCCTGCTATGTACTTTGGAAATGGTATGTCTTCTTATCGGGATTACACAAAAAGTTTCCTTGATTTAATTGTGTGCTGTTTGTGGCTTTTAGGTTAAATCACCTCAATTGGGTTTTCAGGAAGACAAAGTGGTGAAGCAGTTATGCTAATATCAAGAGCAGCAGCCCCTTTGAGTACCAAGATACCAAGCAATTTTAGGAACTAAATGGACTGAATGGAGAGGCCGATTTTTGGGGTCATAGGGAATACAGATACAAGGGAGTATAGATGATCATTTGCTGAGCAGTGAAAGGGTTGAAGAAGCATTTGGGAATGGTCAGCTTACACTGTTCTGTAAAAAGCAGGCCAGTGTGAGGTGTGAATTTTTCCTCTTCAGCCTGCTTTGTAGATAAGATAAGATAAGAAAGCATGCATGCAGGTCAGATAACATGAGTTCAAATCTAATGTGCTTTTGGGAATTATTTTTCATTAATACATTTTCTGAATGTTTATAAATGAAATCTGAGCATTGATGAATGAAATCTGAGCATTGATGAATGGATGATTTATTCCAAAACCCAATTTAAATATGTAGGAGAGTCAGTTTTAAAGTTTCAATTAACCTTGTTTGTGGTATTCAGGTGAAGGTATATTTTCTTAGCAGTAAGAGGGGTCAGGGGAAGTATATTTCAATCCACTATGTATCTTGGATTAGCAATGCCATACATTCAATTTTGATAAACCTATATGTGTGATATGTAGAGTTGAGATTAGTCCATGGAATATTTGTGGAGAATTCTGAGAGTAATGATGTTAAAATGAAGTGGGGGGTTGAGGAGAGACCACTAAGGGAGAGAGGGGTGAGGAGAGACCACTAAGAAAGGGAGGGGGTGAGGAGGCCACAGGGGGATGAGGGGGTGCACTAAGGGAGGGAGGGGTGAGGAGAGACCACTAAGGAAGGGAGAGGGGAAGAAGAGAGACCACTAAAAAAGAGGGGGAAAGGAGACAACTAATGGAAAAGGAGGGAAGGAGAGACCACTAGGGGGAGGCAGAGGAGAGCAGAGACCACTAAGGGGGGATAGGAGAGATCACTAATGGAAAGGGGGAGAAGAGGAGAGTACACTAAGTGAGGTGGGGGAGGAGAGTAGAGACTACTGAGGGGGGAGAGGAGAGATGACTAATGGAAAGGGGAGAGAAAAGACCACTAAGGGATAGGGCAGGAGAGAAGAGACCACTAAGGGGCAGGGGAGAGCACTATGGGGGTGTAGGAGAGAGCACTAAGGGATGGGGGGAGGGTAGGGGAGAGCACTAGGAGACAGGAGGGGAGAGCTCTAAGAGTATTACAGGAAAGGGGGACGGGGAGATCACAAAGGGACAGGGGAGAGCTCTAAGGGGCAGGAGGGAGAGCTCTTAGGGGCAGGAGGGGAGAGAAGCTGAGGAAGGGGGGAAAGAGAAGCACAAATGGGCTGGTAGGACTCAGCCCCTATCCTACCCCACAAACGCTCTCTTTCACACTACACACACAATGCTTCCCTATACATACTGTAACAAACCACCTCTTTTACAGGTAGGATTGTCACAGTAACCACAGCCTTCTAGGGTATACAAAGTCCAGGACACATTCAGCTCAGTTTTCCTTTTTATTTGATAAGAAAGCAGGTGCTTTAAATAATAAACAAACAAAATTCCTTGCTCTTACTTGAGCTCTTACTAGACAGAAATCACTATCTGTAATTGGGTGGCTTTCCCACTTACCAATTTTCCACAAAAAAAAAGAAACGGATTTGCAATAAACACAATTGTTGTTGTCTCTCCTAGCTCACTTTTTCTCCCTCGCTCTGCAGCAGGCTGATCTATTCTTTTAAAGGCCTGTCTGCTAATTGACTAGCTACAGGTGAGTGCCAATTAGTAAACTCTTAAGTCAGATCCAAATTCTGGTCTGTTATACAGCAACTACTGCTGTTGGAGCATTGGCCCACCCTGCTCTCCAAATACTCCACCCCAGGGACCCATACCATGTTTTGCAGAGCATCAGCAATGTGTATTGCAAACTTTAACATCTCTCCCTGGGGCATTTAACTGAAAATTCTCTGGTTGCTGTGTAGCAAATCAGGCCTGATGTATCTTCCATCAACCACTATTCCACTTTTTCGCTCACAATACACAGAAACACCCAATGCATCAATACACACACAGAAACACACCATGCTTCCCTTACACACAGAGAAACATACTATGCATCCATTACACAGAAAGACAATGCATCCCTTACAAACATAAACATAAACACACAATGCATCCCTTACACAGACAAACAAACACTGCTTCTCTTACACACACACAATGTATCTCTTACACACACACTCAATGCACCTCTTACAGACACACACACTGCATCCCTTACATACACAGAAACACACAATGCATCCATTACACAGAAAGACAATGCATCCCTTACAAACAGAAACACGCAATGCATCCCTTACACACACACACACACAAACACACACTGCTTCTCTCACACACACACAGAAACACAATGTTTCTCTTACACACACTCAATGCACCCCTTACAGACACACACACTGCATCCCTTACATACACAGAAACACACAATGCATCCATACACATAAATAAACACACCATGCTTCCCTTAAACACAGGGAAACATACAATGCATCCCTTGCACACATACACAGAAACAAGCAATGCATCCCTTACACATTGTGACGAGACCAATCTCGCCACATTGCATTGGAGAAGCCTGGTTGCTCGCCTGCTGCCTTTGGACTATGGCCCCCTTTTTAAAGACTTTATTTTTGCCTGCAGAAAAGCTGTATTCGTGCTTTTCTGCCTGGGGTTCAGTAGATTTGTTTGAATGTGTTATACCCCAGATAGGAATCCCATGGAGCCCATTCGTATGAAACTGACTGTAAAGACTTTGGCTCCATGGCGATTAAACTGTATTTGTGTGGTCGGAGCGCCATTCACTTAATAATGTGCGCTCAGACCTGAGCTATCTGGGGATATATGAAATGTCTGTGTGTTATGTGTAAAATGTAACTTTATGTATTTTAAAGTGTTTTACTGTCTTTGTGTCTTTTTGCAACCATGTGCTTAATGGAGTCTTGTGTCTGTCCTGGGAGATAATTGAATTACTTATCTCCAGGATAGAAGACTCTGAAACTGGTTTGGGCCAGAAAGCCATGCTTCATTTAGTCACAAAGGACTTTTTACTAACTTTTGAACCCCTGGTCTGATTCATGCCATTTTTTAATATGTTGTTCCCCTGAATGGATTGATTGTGAATATGTAATTGTATGTGAATGTGATGTATGGTTTTAGAGTTATGAAAGTTGGGTAGAAAGTATGTTTTAACTGTATGTGTAATTGAGTTTCCTCTCAGGATAAGGGGAGGGAATATGTGGGATGTAACTGTGATGTGATTGGTTGTTTTATACCTCCCTGTGGGCGGTCCTGTATTTGCAAGACTGTAATAAAAACCAGGCTGGGTGTGCCAGCACCTCAGACCACTGCTTGACCCTCAACACAGAGCCTTGTCTCGTCTTTGGGGGGATTTACTGTATGCTGCTAAGGACTGATTGCCAGGAGTGTAAGCCGCTTGGGAGCTTTTCCTGTTCGTCTGCTAGCAGCTATTCGTATGGTTCCTGTTCGTTTATTTGAAGTGCTACCTTATTCCCTTGTATGCCGTTCGGGAGTTGGAGCATTCACTTATTGGCGGTTCGTGCGTTTTGGTGATTATACCGTAGCTGTGCCTGTCTCTGAAAAGGGGGATTATCGTCTAAGCGGGTTTTTTCCCCTTTCGTGCAAAACGGTCCGTTACACACATACAAACACAGATTCACACAATGCATCCCTTAAACATAACCAGAAACACACAATACATCCCGTACACACAAACACACACTGGTTTCTATCCCTTACACAAAAACACACTGCATCCACTACACACACACACACACACACACAAACACACTGCATCACCTACACAAAATGGTATCCCTATACACTATATTCCATAAGCACACATGTTAGATCCTCTACACTAACATGTAACACATCCCCTACACACTCCACTCCCTGCGAGCGAACTCATGCGTGGAACATGTAGGTGGCCTTATGGGCATACTCACCTTTGAGCTGTGCAAGGGGCCCAAAAAAATGGAGCTGCTTCACGTTCCACCAGGACATTGACTTTTGTGACCACAGTTACAAACAGCTGCCAGAGATCCTATTCTACAACAGACCAGTGGAGCCAGACTGCAGCCAGAGCCCACCATCATCCTCATCTGGTTGTAAGTAGGCAATCTAGTATATTATTAGTGACACTAATCTCTAATTTACCTCACATTAAAAGGGACACTATAGTTCCTAGAACCACGGCAGCTTAATGTAGTGGTTCTGGTTTATATAGCCTGTCTCTGCAGGCTTTTTAATGTAAACACACACTATGTGCAGCACTGGCGTTAGTTCATATGGCAGATCATGTGGGGAATTATGATGTCATATGGGGGCGGGGGGCGGGCAAACCTTTCTTTTGCCTAGGGCGGCAAAAATCCTTGCACCGGCCCTGCCTGTATTTCCACAAAATGTTGGTTCACAGATCAAGTGTGAAAGATTACCAATAGAAAGATAAAAGGAGAGTCATTAAAAAAAATCTACATTTATAATTATATAAAATATTAATCTAGATTTTTTTTTATTCGAATACTCTTTTTATATTTTTTAACTTGATCCCTCTATTGCTCACTTTCCACTTAATCAGTTAATAAAACCAACATTTACACCCCTGTCTCTTGCCATCAAGATCCCCTCTCTACCTCCTCAAACATCACAGTGGAAATTGAATGACACTCTGCTCAACAACCAGGACATTGTGGAACATTTAAAAAAGGTATCAGAGCTATATTTTGCGGACAACGAACTCCCAGAAACGCCGCCCATGTTGGTATGGGAAGCTCACAAATGCGTGCTTAGGGAAGAAATAATCAAACAGGCCTCAACCCAAAAATGTAAGGGGGAAGCCCAGACAACAGCCCTAATAGATTAAATACAGTCATTGGAAACACAACATATAGGAGACAAATCCCTAGACGTGTATAAACTACTGATGACCAAGAGGTCGGAACTTAACACACTACTCTACCTCCAATCTACACTCAAACTACGAATGACCAAACATACATACTACACACAAGGAAGCAAGTGTGGGTGATTACTTGCGCAATCCCTCCAGCACACTAGGCAATCCACACTTATCTCCTCTATTACTTTACAAAACGGCACACAAACTCACATGATGGCCGATATTCTTAAAGCCTTTCATGACTTTTACACTCAATTATACAATTTACACAGTAGCGCAACTTCACCTCGAGCAATCCAGGATTTCCTGGAACAGAGAATTTGATCCACCATCCCTCGGAATGTCCGAGACTCACTAGATGCACCAATAACACATTGGGAGGTATTCCAGGCCATGCGGCATCTGCCACTAGGCAAGAGCCCAGGCCCCGACGGCTTCACAGGTAAATTCTGTAGAATCATGTCAAATGCTCTAACAGTCCCATTCATGACCGCCTTTAACTCTATACCGAAAGCACCGACCATCCCTAAAGCAGCACTGGAGGCCACTATAGCATTACTCCCAAAACCAGGCAAAGACCCGACTAGCTGCATGAGCTACAGGCCCATATCACTAATCAATATCGATCTAAAAATGTTCACAAAGATCCTAGCAAATAGATTAAAAGCATTGTTCCCCGGTCTGATACACCCAGACCAATCTGGCTTTGTGCCTGGGAGAGAGGCCAAAACCAACACCACCAAAATAATCAATCTGATTCACTGGGCAGGAAGGTCAAAACATAAGACGGCGCTCCTCGCGGTTGATGCGGAAAAAGCATTTGACCGGGTGGACTGGTCCTTTATGATGAACACCCTACAACACCTGGGATTTGGCCCCAACTGGATGAAGTGGATACAAACTATATACTCTATGCCCATGGCTAGACTTAGAGTAAATGGACAATTGTCCGAGCCAGTGACCATCACCAATGGCACGAGACACTCTCCCCCCTAATTTTTATTCTGGTGCTAGAACCGTTTCTACAGGGTATACGTGACAACCCACACATCAGAGGGTTCACACTTAACAAAGAGGAATACAAAGTGGCTGCATTTGCAGACGATATCCTATTCACCATCTCAGACCCCCTACACACCCTTCCACACATCGTCGCGGAAATTGATCTGTATCAGGAGTTGTCCAACTTTAAGGCCAATTTAACTAAATGCAAACTGATGCCGTTACACACCACCCACACAGAGGATGAAGCACTCAAACAACACTTTGACGGACTCTGACATTAAATATCTAGGGATACACCTCACACAAAAAAAAGATCGGTTATACGACACAAATTTTCCTCCACTACTTGCGGCCATCACAAATAATTTGAAGTCGTCGCACAAACCACTCAATGGATGGTTTGGTCGGCTCAACATCATTAAGATGAATGTTCTCCCACGCATCTTGTATCTCCTGCAAGCGATTCCCATCTCCCTCCCTAGGATTTTCTTTAAATCTATTCGCATGCTCCTCACAACATTCCTATGGTCATCTAAACGCCCTAGATTGGCCTATTCCCTCCTCACCAGGCCCCGCGCAGAGGGTGGCATAGGCCTTCCATGCGTGGAAAAATACCATCATGAAATACATATATCTAGAGTATATGAGTGGACAAACCCCAACACAACCACACAATGGGTTAAGATAGAAAGCATCTTCCTTGAGATCCCCATACACACACTCCCATGGCATGGACAGGGCTGCAGGTACATCAAATTCAAAAAACACCCAACCATA